AGGATTATTACAACAACTGAATGACTAAGAAAAGAAAAAGATGTGGGGTTGGAGAAGTTATTACAACAATGAATTGATTCAGCCAAATTAAAGCTGAATCTAACAAATCATAATAAAATAAATAGCAAAATTTAAACAGCAACCACAAAATGCCTAGGAGAGCACTCCCCAGAAACTGACCTATTTTCCTTTGAGAAATTCATCTGGCTATACATAAAGCCATCCGGCCGAATAGAAAGGGGGCCAGTTGTGCATAATATCTGATAGAAACTCTATTTGGTGCAACTGATCCAAAATAGAACTAAAACACATCTTCTAAGGGGTACTCATCCTTTCTATTCCTTCCTCTTGCACAAAACATTCAAGAAATGGATAGATAGGCCTCAACCCTTATTTAACAGCACAAATGACTATATACAACAGGACATTTACAACAGTTTGTCAAATGAAATAGAGATTAGAGTTAGAAGAAATTTAAGCCCAAGAAATAAATGAGAATCTACAATCATCTATTTGTGAATAAGGGAAAGTTATAGTACCCAAATCCATGCTATTAGTTTGAGAGCGTAGATTAATGCACACCAATTTTTAGTGGAAACTTTAAAGCATCAAATTCATCAAGGACCATTAAAAACTCCTCAATGTTCATGAAACAATGGTGTTTCTACCATTTTCCATATTCACAAATGATTGAGAAGGGAGCCTTAAGGCATTTGACACAAAACTTCTTGTTTTACTTCCAAGAAAACAACAACAAAAATGAAAGCCAACAACTCTGTCAACACTAAATCTCAAGAATCATCCAACTAACTCCATGTAATAATCACAACTACTCATTAAATTGAGTATGGATCGAAGCATACGAGTCAACATGCCTGAATGATGAGATAGGTAATATTTAAGTGTATGAAAATGAAAGAAACTATGCTACATAATCAAACTTGTACACTTTCTAACTCCCTCCACATTCATAAGGTTTCAATTAACACATCTATGTACCACACCAATGAATTATAGCACTAGAAAGTAAGAAAAGTGTGCAAAAGTGTAAGAAAGTGAAGAGAATAATCAACTCAATGGATGGGTGGCTATATCCTAGTTCTCTCCACATCCATGAGGACCCATCACATAATTACAACAAGCTAACAGTGAGATACAAAGTTTATAAATGAAGAAAAAGAGAGAGAAGATGAGAATAGTTCAAACTTCACATCTTGAAAGAAGGTGAGCTTCTTGATTATCAAACTTTCTTCCTAGCACCCTCAAGCTTTTTTAATATGTTTTGAAATCTCAGAGAAAAGCTTCAAATATTAGCTTTAATGGAATTTGGATGGTGTATCAATGAAGAGAGAGGTGTAATAGTGAAGAGCGTTTGGGTTCAAGGTGGTTTTTGCTCTAAGCCTTTGAAATGATTTTCCAACCCTTGAAAATGAAGTGGAGAGATGATATTTATAAAATTCGAAATAGAAAATATCTGAAAAATGAACAGGTGGCCTTACCCACGTGCATGGGAGCAAACTTTCCCAAAACTACTTTGTTTCCCATACAAATCATCTGGGCAAACAAAAAATTGTTTGGCTAAACAAAAAATCGTTTGGCTAAACAAAAAATCTTTGCCCAGACAATTTTTCTTAAAGGGGAAAACAAGTTTTTTTTTTCTTTTTTTTTTCCCGAGAATTCTCATTGGTTCCACTCATTTCCACTTTGTCCTTGCTCAATGTACTGAAAAAGTATAACACTTTAATGTTTAAAATGCAAGCTTCGAAACTTTGTAGAAAATGTTTAGATCCACATGACCAAAAAATACCATCATCACTAAATACTGTAGTCACTATAATTGTTAATAAACAAGGGAGCTTTTGGCCAAAGTAAACTTCTAGAGTCATTTATAAATAGATTGTCACTAAACAAAACTCAAATCAGGATAAAATTTTATTGTGAATCATAATAAATTTTTATTGTGACGTCAGGTTCGACAGCAAAAAAAATTATTATTTTTTTTAATAATTTCATAGCCAATGTGGATATTTTTTTCATAGATCTTGATAAGATAATTTTAAAAATATTAATTTTATTAAAAACAAATATATAAATCAAAAGTTATGTCATTTTAAAGTTTAAAATATAAAACTAATTATTAAGGGCAGGATTGTCCATACAAAAATGAAAATAAATTTGTTTGTCATTCATGAGGGATATGCATCTTCTTGGGGGAGTTTACGAATTAAAATGTTTGAATTGTCCTTTTCGCTTAAAAAAGAAAAAAAAAAGAAAAAAGAAAAAAAAAAGGCAAGAAAACAGTTTTAGCCAAAATATCCTTTTTTTTAATTTATTTATAATTTCTTCAGATAATAATAATAATAGAATCAAAATTTAAAAGAGACAACAACGACTGCCTATTATTCTTACATAATAATTTATTATACTTACATAATAAGTGCCAATATTGATGTAATTCTGAACTCTTCTTTATTGATGTACACTATCATATTTTATATGTCTCTATCAATATAGATTTATTTTGAAAAAAGTCCCGATAAATGTGGTATCATCATTGTAATTGAATTTTTTTATCCAAATTATGAAAGAAACACATGCACATGCTAGTATACGTGTAAATGGGGCTGAATTTGATATACTCCACTAGAACATGTCATATGGTGGCTAAAAGGAACCAAAGCGCCGTGCTAAAACAACAATCTACACACTTCGATGTGTTTCTATCAGAAAGGGTTCAAAGAAGAAGACCATGTTACATTGTATACAAGTTCTTTATGTGGGGTCTATGATAATTGTTGTTCTGCATGTGCACCGTGTTGGCTGATGTCATATGATATTGCTACACCACCAAGAATCTCTTATCTTGTATAAATAAATGAAAAAATTACACTCACTTTTATTTGTATTTTTTTATTAATTAATAAATAAATACAGTTAGTCTGAAATAACAAAATAAATATATATTTCAGTAATATCATTTTTTTTATTCATATAACTTATAAATTAGTTGATGAAAAAAAAACTAATTGTCATGTGAATTAAAATCTCAAGGGAAGACAATATAATTATGTCAAAAATGTGGAATTAATTTTGTTTTTCTCAAACCCAAGAAAGGAGAGTGTAATTTACACTAACTAAATATAGAAGAATGATATAAAAGCTCACTCTCTAGACCTATTTTTAAAATTCAGTGATGTATAAAAATGATAATTGATTGATGATTACAAAAACACATAAGAGAAAAAGGGGAAATTATCAAATATTCCCAGAAGATCACGTGTCTGTACTCCTTAACCAATCATCATTCAATATGCACACTCATATTTCTCAATCACTCAACACAATACTTCACCTACCCAATTTTTCTAACAATCATAATATTATGAAATATCACACGTCTATACTCCGAAATTACTAAATAATTATCTGAAAAAAAATTATTTCCGATATTCTAATAAACTGTCATATTATTAAATTTAACTTTTAAATTAAAGTAAGACTACTCATAAATATGAGTAAGGACGAGACTACATGAATTTCATTTCTTTTATGTAGAGAAAATCTAAAGCTTCTTTCAGAAAGGAATGGCAGTGGGCTATGCTGACGGTTATGGGGAAGGGAATAAAGCTTGACCGCACATATTGTCCGTTTGAAGATATATAAGAAAAATAAAGAAACCAAACAAAGCCTAAACTTTTGGACTTTTGTTTACATTATCTCTAAAATTATTCTAGACTTTATTGTCACATTTATCATATATACGGTTAGAGAGAAAGAGAGAATAGGAAGAAAGCAATCAATACTTGAGAAATGTCTTAAATATATAGGAAGGGTTATGGAATCCACGTCCAAAAGTAGGGACCTTTCGTTTGTCCCAATGAGAGCAGCCTTACAAGATTGATCTCACTATTTTTTTTCTGGAACATGATCTCACTATTCTCTATTCATGTGAAAATAACTTACATATTATGCATACACATACATTAAAAAATATTTGCATAGTGGTTTCGTCCCTTCTCTCTTTGCCCAAAATAAGTTCATCCTCGTCCCCTGATCAATGGCTTGACACTGTTGGATTCATTTGTGGCATAGATTGATGAAATTCTATCCATTTGATTTGATGATTGCACAATATTGATTCCTTAAAGTTGGGAGTAAAGCTCAATGTCACATATCCATCAAAGGTAGGGGAAGTTTTTTGGGGTAACCTTTCATTGAGATATTTTTTTCTTTGTTTATCTTCCCAAGGGTCTCAAGTTTTGCATGTTTCTGAAATGCAAAATAGAAGGCGTGAAAGGACCACCAAGGATCCTCTAGAGTGAAATTTTTCTAAAGTTTCCTATAGTACTATATTGTGTGGTTGAGATTTACTGGCAAGTCACATCAGAAAAACTGATGTGACTTGCCAGTAAATCTCAACCACACAATGTAGCACTCTAGGAAACTTTAAGAAAAAATCACTCTAGAAGATCCTTGCTCTGAAAGGACAACCCCATTTACATTTCCAAGAATCACTTTACACAGGGTTGTTTGTGTGGACTTATAATTTTTAATTTTAAAAAATATATTATTTTCGATTGTTTGGTTAAATTTATTTTAAATAATTTATTTTAACTCAAAAAAGTTGATTATGAGAAACTAATCTCCTGTTTCTGATTATCAACTTCTGTGGTGGACATATTAATTTACGATTGTATTCTTAGATTTTTTTTTTTAAATAAAAAAAAGGCCCAAATAGACTATAGATTATTATTATTATCATTTATGAGAAATGTAAACAAGTAGTGAATAACAAAAAATAAAAGTGAATTGAAAAAGTTACTTCACAGCTTATTTAACAAACATTACTCAGCAACTTAAATATATAATCTAATAGTTACACTGAACAGATTAACAACTTCCGATTAAAGTCATAATCTATAATCTGTTAGGTTATAATCTATAATCTGTTTTAACAGTACAACATACCCAATAATATTATAAACTCGTAATTTTTAAAAAAAAAAAAAATTCAGAATGTGGTACCGTTTCATTATTCATCTTAATGGAATATGGATCCATTTAAAATGAATGCAATGGAAGTAGCACAGGGTTCCGAACACTTTCCAAAAAAATTTATGTGTTCATATGCTTACTGTTACATAAACCCCATTTGCTTAAAATGGTCTTCTTATAAGTACTTGGAATGCCACCAAATACACAAACATCCAATACACCAAGCTTCGATATCCAATCTTTGCTACCTGCTTCCGAGTGAGTACCCCCAAACACAGAGAGGTAGAGAGAAAGAGAGAGGGAGAGAGAGAATAAAAGTAAATATCAGATTAATATTAATCAATATCTGTAATATATAGGTGGCGCTGCAATACCATAACATAACTATGAGCTACATTTCAATAAATCAGTTACCAATTTAACACAATGTCATATACAATAATAAAACTTGCATTGATGTACACTTTACACATTTTTCCTCTGTCCACCTTTTTACCATTGCCCACCAAATTTTATTAATATATAGTGTGGTATAAACTAGAAGGATTTTTTCCTTTTTTTTTGAAGAAAAAGGGGGATAAAACCTATGGTGTTACCTGGGTGGCTGAGGAGGTTAGAGAAATGGTAGCTGAAGAAGTCGCTGAAGAGGTCGATGAAGAGGTCGATGAAGTGCTCGACAAAGCTGAAAGTCCTACATTGTAGACCATGGTTTCATCAGGTTGAAACAGACCATAGTTCCTCTCTGAAGTCGGTCCAGGCTTCAAGTCCTCATTGAACAAAGCAAACAAATAAACCTCTAGTCTATTGTTAGGCCTCAAAGGTGTTCCTTCCTTTGCCAATTGCCTTCTCAACAAATTCCGGTTATATATCGCCGCATTCTCTATGGTTGCACCGACTTCATTTGTGTCACCTTTTGACGGCCACCCGGTCTCCGACACCCTAACTTCTAACCCTCCAAAACCCATTCTAGCAGCAGCAAATATAACTGCATCAACTTGAGCATATAGCATGTTGTCATAGTGTAGTTTGGTGTAAGGGTCAATCATTCCTGAGTTAGGGTTAAGTAGGGCATAGTTTAAAGATATCCCATTTGGGTCATCATTGTAAGCAAAATATGGGTATGCATTGATCCAAAAAGGTGCTTTTGTATTTGCCAAGAACTGCAAATATTGTGGCATAATTCCGGCTAGCTCGCTCGTGAAACAACCCGCCGAAGGTGGATATGACTCCGAGAGCACAGCTAGGGAACTCGGGGTAGAGACTTGAATATATGGATCAAGTCCTAGTCGAACCAAGGCGCCATGAATGCTGACCATAGCTGGCAAAAGGTTAGCCATTATTGTCATGTCACCGCCAGTGAAGACCTCGTTGCCCACCGCAATTCCGGTGATCCTGGTGGCCGGAAAATATGGCTTTATTCGGGTACTTACCCATTGAAGAGCTTGTTGTGGATCCCTTAGCTCACCTAAAATTTGATTCTCAACCGTTACGATAAGTTCAATACCAGAATTGGAGAATGCGGTTAAAATTTGGGGATTGGTGTCGTAAATTCTTGCTTTTGTGAGCTTAAAGGATTGTAAAAGCTCAAGAACTCTCTCTGGCGGTGGTAAATTGTTGCCAACTTGACCATAGTTGATGCCAAGGGATTCAACTCCTCGTAGAAAACCATAACCTGTCAAACAACAATCAATAGATTCACAGAATAAGATCAACATTAGTGTACATTGAAATTTATTTAAAAAAGTATAAAAATGAAAATTGGTCTTTAAGCCCAAACACATGATAAAGAAAGGTACCTGATAAAGAGAAAGAAAATACAAGAAGGGCATGTAAGAAGGCGATTCTTCCAAAAAACGTTGCCATGAAGAGAGAGAGAGAGAGAGAGAGAGAGAGAGAGAGAGAGAACTTGATATATTCCTAACTGAGAGAGAAGGGGGAAGAGAGAAGAGAGAAGGGAGAAGATAGAAAGATATGCAAGAGTATATATAGAATCTCTATGAATGTATATGTGTAATGTAGTAAATTCCTTTCTTTGCTTGTTTGATTTTTGTTTTTGTTGGGCTAGAGGTTATAGGTTGCTTTGCCTTGACAATTTAGGAATTGGCACTTACCTCTTAATTCGTTTTAATTGCCTTGGTTGGTTTCTCATCTTCTTCTGCTCCCTCTCCAATCCCTATATATAGATTATTTTACCCTGCCCACCTTTTCAAGAAAGCAAAAAATTCGTTCAAATGACCATTATGCCCTCAACGCTTTTCTTCATTTAAAAGAAAGGAAAATGGTATACCAATCGATTTTGTACACCTACTTTTTAAACCCTTTATTAGCAAAAATTTAAAAATATATATATATATATAAGAAAGAAAATTCTTTCAGATATTGTAATTGATTGCCACGTCATTTGAAAAGTCAGTTTGGTCGGAGAATTTGAGAAGTGATTTGGAAATAAAAAAGAAAAAATTTGGTGAAATGTGAATAAAATATATTTACATTTCACTTAATTTCACACACTTTTTTTTTTCTCTTTCTAAATATCTTTTCAAATCCCTCAATCAATCATAGCATTTTTTTTTAATCAACAAAAATAAACTTTATTGATGAAGAAAGTAAAAAACATGCAAGCACTTACATCAATAAAAAAGGGAAGTACAAATAACATCATAACTAACCTTACCAACCCCAACATAGTATTAGAGTACAATAACATTGTCCCAAAAGAAAAGAGACTGATTAGAAAAGATACACTATAAGAAAAAGCACTATTGGCGACTAAAAAATCACATTTCGTCTCTGAAAGTATAGCATTTGGCAACTAAAAATGCATTAGTAGCCAAAAGTGGTGATTTTCGGCAACTAAAAAAATTTAATATCCAAAAGTATAGGTTTTGGCGACTAAAAATCTATTTGGTCGTGGATATATGACTTTTAGCGACTAAAACAATTTTAGTAGCCAAAAGCAAGGCCTTTTGGCGACTAAAAAAAATTTAGTAGCCAAAAGTGAGGCATTCGGCGACTAAAAATGTGTTTGGTTGCCAAAAGTGAGGCTTTTACAGATTAAAAAAATTTTAGTAGCCAAAAGAAAGGCCCTTTGGCGGCTAAAAAAAAATTAGTAGCCAAAAGTGAAGCATTCGGCGACTAAAAACATGTTTAGTAGCCGAAAGTGAGGCTTTTTGGCGACTAAAAAGAAGTTTAGTCGCCAAAAGTGGTAATTTTAGCGCGGAAACTTTTTTTTAACGACTAAAAAATAATTAGTAGCCAAAAGTATCGAATTGGCGACTAAAATTATAAATTATATTTAGTCGCCAAAAGCGGTGTCCTTTTTTTTTACTAAATAATTTATTTTTATATAAATTATGTTCAATAAAAAATAATTATGTTTATACATATACTTTGATATTAATACAGGTCTAAGTACTATATAAATAATATATGTTGCATATATAATCACATGATGTTATGGAGGTGTAGTGGAAGGAGTGTATTGTATAGGGTTTATGGTGTAGGAGGTTGATGGTTCAAATCTCCACAAGAGCAAGGTGCATTTTTTTTTTTTCGGAATGTGCTTTTGGCGACTAAATTTGTTTGGTCACCGATTCCTTGAGTATTGGCGACTAAAACATTAGTCAGTAAATGTATAATTTTAAAAAATATAATTTACTATTGGCAACTAAAAATTTAGTCGCCAAATGCATAATTTAAAAAATATAATTGACTATTGATGACCAAAGTTTTGATTGGTAAATACTTACTTTTTGGCGACTAAAAATTTTTTTGTCGCCAATACCTTTTCCGACCGTTTTCCAGCGACCAAATCGGCGACTAAAAAATTTAGTTGGGAAAATTTAAAAACTGACTTTTGACAACTAAAAATTGACTTTTGAAGACTAAAAATTTAGCCACCTAATATATTTTTTCTTGTAGTGATAGAGCTAGTGAGAGTGCAATCCAAAAGGTTAAGTTGGTGTTAAGATTTAAGTACCCTTAAATATGAACGCAAAGGTGACCATCTAATCTATACTTATCTCTATTAATGTGCCTTCTTTTAATGGGCATGTGAATTTAATTGATTGCTCGGGTTTTATACCCTCTTTCAAGTTCATTGATTTTCAACCATTTAGGTCTCTCATTGTTTTCACCATGTGTGAGGTATCAAGAAAAAAAAGAAAAAAAAGGCTACGGTCCCATAATTGAAGTTAAGACTCATAAAATTAATGTATGGTGAGATTTAACTTTTGAATGCATCTAAAACATCTAAGCCACATTGGATTTTTTTGGACAAATTTCATGTATGGTGAGATTTAACTTTTGAATGCATCTAAAACATCTAAGCCACATTGGATTTTTTTGGACAAATTTCAAGCAAAGTTTTTGGGTTTGTAAAATTTATTATAAAAAATTAAGGTTTTAGAGAAAAAAAAAAGTTAGGGATATTATTATTTTTTAGAAACAAAATATTTTTGTTACCAAAAGTGTTATTATTTTATTTTTAACGATAAAATTGGACATTTAATGATGAATTACTAACTTTTTGGGACCAAAAGTTGTATCTTAAAAAATAAACATTTTTGGGACCTAGTTAGTTTGTCCCTAAAAGTGCTTTATTAGTGACATTTTCAAAATTTTGTCCCTAAAAGTTTTTTTTTTTTTTTCACAACGATCTTTTAATGATTGTCTCTGAAATTAGTCTCTAAATATTTTTGTAATAAAATTTATTTTTAGAGACAAAAAAAAAATTATAAAATTCTTATATATTATAGTGACTGTGGATTTGGTATGGAAACACAACATAAGAAATTCTTCGGCACTTTTCCATAGCCCAACTTTTATTACAAGGAACTTTGAATCTTTATTTCTATATACACTCAAATATATATGAAATAAACGGTTAATTGATGAAAAGTCCATTTGTATGGAATCATATGTTATTTAGTCGAAAGTTTAATCATTTTTTTGTGATAAGGATATGTGTTAAAAAATCATTGGCGCCAAAAAAGTCACCAGCAGCTATGGTCAGTGACGACAAGTAGTAGTGACAAGATGCATAAATAGGTGACATTAACTAAATATGTGAATAAATAGGTGACACATATACGGATAAATAATATTTGAACAAATAGTGATGGTTGGCGATGACAATTAATAGTGATAAGATGCATAAATAGGTGACATTAATAAATAGGTGAATAAATAGGTGACACATATACAAATAAATAATATTTGAACAAATAGTTGGATATTTAAACAAAAAAGTGATAAGTATAGATGGCTGATATTTGTGATCTAACTAATGTAAATAGAGAAGGCATGGTAGATGCATGATAATAATATGTACTAGTGGAGTAGGTTAGCATCTCTATTGTAACTGATTAGTCAGCTGAGTTGTTAGATTAGTTAGAATGGTTAGGGGTTGTAATCCTTCAATTTCTTTTTAATAAAACATTTTGAATTGATCCAATAATCTCTCATGGTATCAGAGCAGATTGAAGCTCCAATGAGCAATCCTTCAATGGCGTCCTCTTCATCATCTTCTACTCCAACGATCCCTCTCAATCTAAGGATGTTGATCTCTAATCTTAACTCTATTGTCACAGTGAAATTAGAAAGCATAAATTTATTAATTTGCAAGAATCAAATGCATAATATCCTTCGAGCAACAGAATTGATGAAGATTGTCGATGGCTCGCAAGTTTGCCCTAACAAGATGATTCAAGATTCAACTTCCAAAATAGAAATCTAGGATCCTAAAGCAATTCTATGGAAAATGTTGGATGCACATCTTTTTAGATGTATCACAGCTATGCTTTCACCTGCAATCTTCACCTCTATTATGCATCTTTATACAAGTTCTCAGGAATGGCAATCACTCGAAAAGCGTTTCACATCGCTTTCAAGGTCTCATATTCATCAATTTAAGAATAAAATTGACTTAAATTTCAAAGAAATTCAACACTATGAAAGTGTATTTGAGTCGTATTAACAGTATTATTGATCAACTGAGTATTGCTTCTTCATTTGTTGATGATGAAAATATAGTGCTCATCACACTAAATGGCTTATCTAGTGAATATGATTCTGTGAAGATTGCTATTCATACTTGTTCAGAAAAAGTTTTTGTGGAAGAGCTTTTTTCTATCTTTGCTCAGAGGCTGTTCATATAGAGAGGAAATTGAAGTGAGTTTCTAATTTAACTGTTGCTTATGCAACAATGAAAGATTCTAATTCGTCTAAAGGATTTCAAGCATATCAACATAGTAGAGGTTCCTCAAGGTATGAATCTAGGGTTTATAATCGAGGAAATCGACTTGTTCAAGGTAGATCTCTTAACTTTCGAGGCAAATCTCAAAGCAGAGACAGATCTAGCTTCGGTACTATTTGTCAAATTTGTGGCAAAAATAATTATTCAACTTTTGATTATTTGCATCGGTTGGATCCTCAGTTTCGACCTTCCTCTACTCCTCACCAACTCATTTTCTCACCATCAATCTGTTACTTCTAATCCTCATTAATCTAGTGCTTTTGTGGCCTTCATGAAGTTTAACGAGCATTTGCTAGGCGATCCCTCAAGCCCTAGAGTAAGTTCTAAGCAGGAGCATACCAGAATACAACTTAGGTTGTTTTTCCTCCCTAGTGTAAACGACTGTACCAACTTGTTGCGATCATGCGGGAGGCCCAAGAGTTGGGAGAATTCTTCGAAGGTAGGTGTAAGCTCGAAATTCCCAAAACGAAAACATGCGGTATTCCTATACCAAAAGTGGATCAAGGCTTCAATCAACAGACAGTGTATTGTACCTTGATACTTAACAATGATAGAATGTTCTCATACTAATGCCGGAAAGAAAGTGTGTCTTTTACGAACATGCGCTCTGCCCATCGTCTCAAAGGTGTAGGCGAAAAGCAAAATTACCTCAATCTTGAAAACGGCAATATGACGACTGTATCGGGGCTTGCCTCAGTAGATAATTCTCTGAGTCTACTCTAAGGTCTCCCATATGATACCTAGCTTCCAATACTTGTTGAGAAGGAACTCTTTGTTGATAATGCTTCTCAAGGTTTTACTCCATTGTTTTTTGATTTTGTTGCCTCATCACCAATGATCTACATCAACTCAACTCTTGTCAACCATATCATGGTTGTGACCAATTCAC